TTTAAGAGGATAAACACCCTTAACCAATCTTTAACCTGCAGACTTTAGCCACTTGCCAAATACTCCACTTTGCTGTGCCAATAAATCAAGGGCAGGGGAGGGAGTACAAGTGTAACTGGATAAGGGTTTGGGTTTTAATTTTTCACAAGCAGGAGGAGGATAGCAATATAGTTAGTCAGCAAGCATTAATCCTCATTAATGTCTTCATTCAAATCCTTTCTTCTCTACACAGCTGTGCAAATATAAATTAATTCAGCCATTTTGACTAAGACAGCCAAGAAAAAAAGTTTAAAATATGATACCAAAGAATTAATTACATGAATAACACATTCTTGCAATGCATGGGAAAGACTGTTTGGGAGACTATGCCATCGGCTGAGACATGCAGTTGTTCCTTGGTATCTGTGGGGACTGGTTCCAGGACCCCCAGGGGAACCCAAATCTGTATTCAAGTCCCTTATACAAAATTGCATAGTATTTGCATATTACCTACACACAGCCTCCCAAACACTTAGATTCACTTTTAGGTTACTTCAATTCATATGATACAAATAGTTGCTACACTGCATTGTGTGGGGAATAATGACAAGAAAAACAGGCTATACATGCTCAAAACTATTGTTTTTTGGTTTGGTACTAGGAACTGAACCCAAGACCTTACACATGCTAAGCAAGTACCCTACTACTGAGGTATACCCTTGATTTTTTTTTCAATATTTTAATTTTGATACAGGGGCACACCAAGTTGCCAGGGCTGGACTTGAACTTGCAATTTTCCTACCTCAGCCTCGTGAGTCATTGGAATTATAGGGTTACACCACTAAGCCTGGATAAATGTAATGGGGTGGGAACATTACTGGAGCTTGAACCCAGGACTTTGCACATGGTAGGCAAGAACTCTTCCATTGAACTACAGCCTCAGCAGGGTTGATTTTGCAAATGCAGACCATGCAGATAAGGAGAGCTAACTGAAGATTAGAACTCTTACTGCTGTTAATGTCCCTGGGAAGCCACCAGAAAGGGAAACAAGGTGGGAATGAGTGGGTCACAAAGCAATAATTTAAGGAGGGTGTGGGGGTGGAAGTGGCTTCCTGCAGAGGCCCACAACAGCACCATCATTCCCGATTAACTTGAAAGGTAAAGAGGAACAAAGAGCTTGATCTGTCAATCACTTATGGAGTTATAGTCATAATTTAAATTCAAGTTAACTCCAGAGACTGTTTCAAAGCATAACCTTATTCCTGTTTTCTACATACTTGGCATTCTGCTTGCATTATGAAGAGGGAAAGAAAAACTGTGGGGCTCAGTTCTTCCCCTTCATAAGTTAGTTTACAGTCTGACCGAGGAACCAGGAAGGACACACACAAAACAATCAGAAAATAGACTGGGAGCACACCACTGGGGTATGGATCTTTTGAATGAAGGAAGTAATTCATAGGAACTGAGGCAAGTAAATATAACTCAGTGTTAATTTTGCTAAGCATTTCTACCAGGTTCTCAACTAAAGGGCAACACGAAGAGAAGACTCTACTTTAGAAAAGACCAATTAATTATTGCCACGGTGTGGCGTGCATGTTGAGAAAGGGTTCTCCCTTACAGAAATCTCCTTAGAAAGGACAGGACAGCCAGTCCATCTCCAGTAATACCTTTTATTTTTCATTATCATTTCATTTCCCACAGCAAAGTAAGATAATTTTATAGGGTTTTATGACATTATTCAAGTTTCTCCTCTTTACCTTAGACCAAAATCTACATCATAAAACTGCCCACAGCCTGGAATCCATCCATATGAGACACAGGCGAGAGAAGTTGCTGCAGTCCACTCAGAGAGGTGTGGCAGCCTCTCCTGGCCTCCAGAGACCCAGCAGGGAGGAGACCATTTGCCTCAGCTCATCAGTTCTTTTCACTGGGAATTAACCAGCCCAGGCCTGACCAGTGAAGGTGTTTAGAAGCAGCTGACCAAAGGCTCCAGAGAGGAGAAAGCTGGAAGGAAGCACATGCATGTGGGGAAGCATCTGAAATTCACACCCAACTCCTTGGGAAACAACACCAAAGTTCTGCAGCAATCTGCTTCCATTCACTTTGCTACCCTGACATTTCTGCTGTGCTCTTAATGTTCACGCGTACGTGATTTTAGGATTTTACATCCTTTCTGGTGGGATGGCATGCTGTCATCAGCAGCAGCCTCATGGTGGAGAAACGCTAGGCAAGTTCTCAGAGTGCAGAGCAGGACAAGCAGGCCTCTGATAAGTGGCTCATCTGTGACTCAAGGTTCCATGTGCAATCAGGGGAAGAAATGAATCCACACACTGGCTGAGTTGAATGATCAGCAAACAGAAAAGCTTTCACTGTCAGGCAGGGTCCCTGGTGCTCCCCAGAGCCTAACCAATGTCAGGATCTATAGGATAGAACAGCTATTTCCCACATGTACTAATAAAAAAAGCAAAGAGCTCAATTTAGCTCCCAGGCCATGGTTCCGAACGTCTCAAATTCCATAGAGCTGCCAAAGGAACTTTGAAATATATTCACAATGCACCCAACTCCATGACTATGATTGAAAGGGTCTTGGTGGGGCCTGAACATTGTAACGTGAGCCCTTGGTTATATTTACCCTAATACAGGCAAGTCTGAAAACCACAGTGATGAGACACTGAAATGAACAAGAGTCTTAGGCTCCTTTAAAAGTCTATTCCAAATTTTCTTTCTGGACACTGAGAAACTACCTAAGAGCAAACATCCTGGATTACAATTCTAGTTATACCATTTACTAGCTTTGTAACCTTGGAGAAGTTACAAGACTTCCCAGAAGCAGTCTTCTTAGCAATACAATAGGGTTAACAATCACAACATCATAGGCCAGCTAAGAGGACTGTGTGACATCTAGCATGGAAATTATGTAGCCCCAGATCTGGCACATGCTGAATGCTGGATAAATGTCAGCTATTTTTTTTTTCCTTCATTTTATGTGCATGAGTGTTTTGCCTACACGTATGTAAGTGCATCCATGTCAGTCAATCCCTGTAGAAGCCAGAAGAGGGCATCAGATCCTACTGGAACTGGAGTTATAGATGGTTGTTAGCCACCATGTAGGTGCTGGGAACTGAACCTGAGTCCTCTGCAAGAGCAGCCAGTGCTCTTAACTGCTGAGCCCTCTCTCCAGCCCCAGTGTCAGCTATCTTGATTGATGATGAAAAAGTAAAAATACCTCTGCAATATTTTGATAAAAGTGATGTCTTTCTAAACTTTATTTCTAGGACCAGGTTAATGAGACTGTGAAGAACTGAAATTTAAGAGTTCCAGAAATACTTTCCCAAAGGGAATGGAAGAAGGAAGCAGGAATGTTTACCAAGGTTAAAAAAAACAAGTGAATTAGGCATCATGGTACATTCCTGTAACTACAGCACTTGGTGGAAATGGGAGGATCAGGAGTTCAAGGTCAGCTTTGTCTATATAATGAATTTCAGAACAGCCTGAGCTATATGAGACTCTATCTCAAAAAACAAAAGAAAAAGCCAGGCACGGTGGGGCACATCTTTAATCCCGGCACTTGGGAGGCAGAGGCAGGCAGATCTCTGTGAGTTCAAGGCCAGGCTGGTCTACATAGTGAGTTCCAGGACAGCTGGGGCTACAGGGAGACCCTGTCTCAAAAAGACCAAAAGAAAAAAAAATGAAAAGAGAAAAAAATAGAAAAAGAAAAAAGCAACAAGGAAGAGGTACATGGTACTGTGTTCAGAAGGGAAGATGGCCTGACCAAGCAGGTAGCCTGACCAAGCATATTCTAGAGTAAGATACTTAAAGAGAAAAAACTATGGAAAGAATTCAGAGGACCCAGAAATGTGGATGAGAATAAAAACCGAATATTTCCATTAATCTGAAGTGGAAATTTAGCATTTCCTTTCATTATGAATACAGGTGACAAATCTCAGTAAATGCAAATATAACTGATCTTGTTATTAATAGATATAACACATATTTTCACATAATATCACAGTTGTGATAGACATCCTGAAGTCTTAGTGATAATTGGGGTGACTAACTGTCTCCATTTGCCCAGGATGGAGGGCTTCTCAGAATGTGCAGCTTACAGTGCTAAAATTAATACAGTCTCAGAGAAGGTAACCTCTATTTGCATTCAGTACTGTATGAAAACTGTGGTGGTTACCACATTGCTGGATAATGTCAGTCAGTGTGCTAATAAAGAAGCATTTGAAATCACATTTTACAATTTCAAAGATTATCTTGTGTCTGATAAATGCAAATCAGCATAATTTGTCCTTTATTAATGTTTTCTATTTCATTTGATGCATTTAAAAATATTTTTTAAGTCCATAGGCCTCACCGAAGGGGTCCATGACACAAAAAAGTTGTTTGTAAAATGTAAGCCACAGGATTTCAGTTCCTTTAGGCCAGCAAAGCTAAAAGCAACAATGGACCACATGGCAGGGAAAAATCTCACACATGCATCTCCAAAGCCAATAGACTGAGCCATTTTTCTACTACCAAAAAATCTCTAATCCCTCTGCTCCTGAGGACATATGTGTACATTTTATTAATCATTTATATTGCGGCAGAGTCAATCCAGTCTTAATAACTCTTAATTGGCATATCTATTTTCCAATAACTACAAATTATTCCCCTAAAATAATATTTTGTCAGCTCTCAGTTTATATTTTCCATTCAATTAAAACAATGGAAATTTTGATTAAGAAATCAAGTTTAATGGAATAATGAAAAGAGACAGGTGTACCTACCTGTACTCTCAACATTTAAGAAGCTAAGTAAGGAGGCTCAGAGTTCAAGGCCAGCCTGGGCTATATACATAGAAAGTCTCAGGCCTATGTAGGATCTATGCAATAAGACCCTATTTCAAAAACTTCTAAAAACCAAAGGTAACGATGGAGGGAGGCAGGGAGGGAGGGAGGGAGGGAGGGAGGGAAGAAAAGAAGGGAAGAAGGAAAGAAAAGTAAAGCAAAAGAAATGATGAAAACTTGAACTCTTACCAAATGCCACTGGGTTTCTGACAGTCGTTGGCTCCCGCTCTGCCTTATGTTCATGGTTGATGGAGGGTCCATTACTTTCCCACAAGGTGGCAAGAGACTGTTTCTCTTCTGATCGACATAGCTCCAAGCAGTCAGTCCAATGTGGCCAGAAGGAAGAGTTCTCACAATTGCTCGTGTCCCAGTATACACAGATTTCTTAACTTCTCTGTCATTTTTACAAAATCTTCTTACTAACAAAGTGGACCGCTCCTTTTTGTTTTTGAAAAAGTCTTCCTCTACATCTTCACAATTACCCGAGAAATCCTCCAAAGAGTTCAGAAAAGTCTTGGCAGGTAGATTGTGAGCAAAACCATCCCTGCAAAAACTCTCGCTTGAGCAGACCACACTGACCTTCGGGCGGGACCTTTCAAAGCACAGGTATTTATCATGCAACGTGTTGCAATGGTCACACCACAGCTGCCCATTCTTATTACCACAGGTCTTCGCCAATTCCATCAGTTTACAAGTATACGCCATGAAGTTTTTCTTTTGCTGTCCCTCAGGAAGTGTAACACAATTTCCACAATCATCCAAAATAAAGTTTTCTGACAGGGTATGTAAAGTGCCTGACATTCTTCTGTCAACTTCATAATGGAGATGAAATAAGGCCATATTGCTGTCAGGGTGGGGGCTGCTGGTCTCTAGGATCCCAGACTGATTTCCCAAAGGGCTTATATCCATGGGAGGATCATCCATTTCCAGTTGAATTCCAGGGAACACCTTTCTTTCCAGTGGAGAAGGAATTCCAGTTTCCAAACTCAGACCTTCCTTGGTGACAGAGTCACACATTTCACATAGCTGGCTCTGAGGAAGGCCATGCTGGTTTTGCAATAAGCTTTCACAGTTAATGTTGTGGTTTTCCACAGAATCCGGCACGTTTTTCTCCCAGCATTTTTCATTGTGGTTCTCGTCACTTACTATTTTCTCCCTTGCTATTGAGACAACCTTGGGCAAATCACTTCCAGAAGATTCTGCTTTAGGTTTGTTCCACCGTGAGATGGCATTCGGAATCTGCACACCCTGCCTGACAGCATGCGCCATTGGTATAGTGGTGTCTGTGGCCCTTTCCTCTGCAGCTGACTGGGCAGACACTTTTCTCTGAGTCACTGGGATGAGAACGGAAGCTTCCATCTCTTCAGAAGTCATCCTGACCAGCTGGCTACTCCTCTGCTTCCTCCTCCCTGTTGACCATGTCAAGATTTCTATCAGACGAATAATCTCAGATAATCCCAGTCCTTCTCAGAAACAAGCTGACAATTCCTTTCATTCAGGTGCATTGAAAACCAAATAAATCTTTCCAGTTGTAATTTCCTACAGGAATATGTTTTAGAGAAAAATTTTAAGGTGGTAGATCAATTTTCTTTCTTTTGTGATTTGAAATTTGCTTTTAGGAGGACTTTATTCAGGATTAGATTCTGCAATTTGTGGTCCATTATTAATGTTCAACAATTTAAAAATCCAGTTTGAAGGTCTTCTGTTTCCTGCAAGAAAAGGGATAATGTCAAACACTATGGTATTTAATATTTTTTTAGACCAAGTTGATAACTTGACTCTTAATAGAAAATATAGATCAATGTTGAGGAAGGAGTTTTACAATCAAAAGTCAGTTTTAATGTTTTAAGTATTTATCACTTTGACAAGTCAGAATTTCTGCTTCCAGCAAAAATGGAGCAATAAGAATCAGATTTATCTTCCTGCATTAAATAAATTCTAATCAGGAAAAAAAATATGGTTTTCATACAATGAACAGGCAAATAGAACAGTACTGTCTGCATCAAGAAAAAAAAAAAGAGTGATCACAGTCTAAGTACCTTAGCTCACTGCTTAGAGACTTCCAGGTCCAGGTAGAATCCAACAGTCTATCTGAGTAGAAGAGAAAAAGCTAAGACTTCAGGAAGGCCAAAGAGGCCAGAGAAATAAGAGAAGTCAAAGGTAAGAGAAACAACTGCCTTTCCATCAGAAACAATGTGAGCAAGGACTTAGTGGAGCAGGAAAAAACACTATCAATGTAGAATTCTATACCTAGCACAAATGTCTTCAACACATAAAAACAGAAAAGACTTTTTCAGACATGCTGAAAGTATTCATCAATAGCAGAATGGAAATACAAAAGGTGATAAAGGAAGGCCTCAGGCAGAAGGAATGCCAGAAAGCATTAAATATGGCATAAACATACTCTCTCATTTTTAAAATCACTTAGCAAGGTAATTGATCATTTAAAGCAAACACAGTAACAATGTGTTATGAGATTTATAAAAAATGCAAAAGTGAAATGTCTGATCAGACAGCACAAAGGTCAGGAGAAGAGAAATGGCACTATAATGCCATAAGGCTATTTTCTACATGAATCATTATCTTATTACTTGTATTAGTCACTTTTCTGTTGCTGTGATAGATACACTGACCCAAGCAATTTATAGAAGGAAGGGTTTATTTGAGCTTACGGTTCCAGGGGAATTACAGTCCGTCATGGCAGGAAGGCATGGTGGTAGAGGTGGCTGGAGCAGGAGCAGCAGAAGTAAAGCTCTCACATCATCACGCAGGCACAGGAAACAAGAGAGTGACTGGGATCTGGCAAGGCTTAAGAACTTTCTAAGCCCACCCCCAGTGACGTGCTTCCTCCAGGACAGCCACACCTTCTAAAACCTCCCAAAACAGTGCCATCATCTGGGGACAAAATGTCCAAACACTTGGAGCCTGTGGGGGACATTTTCATTCAAATCGCCACATTACTTAAAAGGTGCACTGTGATTCACATACTCTGAATCCTACAGCAATCACTTAGGGAAAAAAGACACCAGGAATAAGTAAAAAATTAAAATCATTAAAAATTCAATTAATTTTAAAAATCAGAAAAACAAAAGGTGAACAAAGAAGAGACGAGGCAAATAGGGACTAACAGTAGATTTAAACATCTCAACACCTTTTGTCAGCATTTTCAGCTTTTCTGCAACAAATTATACATTTAAAAAATCCTTTGGTTTCAGTTGAGGGAGAAACTGTTTAGTTGAATGTCAGTAGACATAAAAACTTCGATATTTAAAGGTATTGTAAATAGCTTAGCCTGTTCTTTATTCTTCAAGCAAATTATTGAACCTCTTCTCCATGCCTCTATGCTGTATATTGTGTGATGGGCTAGACAGCCAGCACCAGCTTACAACTCTATTGATAGAGAGCCAAACAAATTTCCATCTGATGTGGGAGGTACAGTAAGAAAGGATATTCAAGGCAACTCGGGACCAGAAAGTACCCATCACAAGTAGACCATCTCTTCTAGATGCAGCTCTTCCTTCTGAGGGGTTCATCAGCAGCTTTGCCTTACCTTTGCTCTTCACCATAAGGATGTCCCTCATCCCTTTCCTCTTTTCCCAAAAAGCTACCAACTTCCCCCTTTCTATTACATATGTGTCTTGACTGACACAAACATAGTCTCTTTCCTGTTCTCAGCACATGGAGATTTTCACAGCTATCCCAAGGAAACAGAGGACACCTTGGTAGTTACATTTTTTCACAGACATAAACCGGCTCTATGCAGTATGTCCTACTTCGACATCCCAACTTCTTTGATTTTTTTTGCCTTTTTTAAATTTTATGTATATACATATGTTGTGTGTATGTATGCAAGTGCACTGTATTGTGCAATGCCCAAGGAGGACAGAAGAGGCCATCAGATCCCCTGGAACAGGAGTTGCAGATGGTTGTTAGCAGGCATGTGGGTGCTGAGATTTGAACCTGTATTTTCTTCAAGAAAAGCCAATGCTCTTAACCACTGAGTCATCTCTCCAGCCCTCTTTTATTTATTTATTATTATTTTTTCCAACTCTTTCTATTTTTAAGATTATCTTTCCAGTTTTCCTTTGTTTGTATATATGTTTTATATAAACATGTCCTCAGTAAGTGCCCCCATGTCATGTAATCCCCTTGGAGGTCAGAAGAAGGCATCAGATCTCCTGGAACTGGAGTTAGGATGGTTGTTAGCTGCCGTACGGGTGCTGAGACTCAAACCTGGGTCCTATGCAAGAGCATACAGTGCTCTTAACTACTGAGCCACCTCTCTAGCCCTATAATTTCAATTCTATAGCTGGAATCAATTCTGTTAATCTCAGTTTTATGATCACCAGTTAGTTAAATTATCATCCTTGAATTATGCTTTCTATATTTATAGTATAAGAAGAAACACATATTTTATATATGTCAGAAAAAGTTGGCCAACAAATACATATTAATTTTCTATCTGTTCCCTCTTGGGAAGTCCTAGATTGACTTTAAAAAGAAGCTATTAGGTAAGATTAGAATTAAAGCTATAGTGAGCATTAGACTATGGAAAGATTAAAGAAAATTGAAAGCACCAAATGTAGAAAATACTCTAATAGATTTTAGAAACAAAAGGTTGTAAAATAGGGTTAATCCGCTTTCTCAAGTGGACAAGTTTATAAGGGAGATTAGAAAAGGACCACCCTGGAGAGATCAAAGAATGTCTGGGCTACGGGTGTGCAATAAGGAGGGGAGGTTTGTCAAGGTAAAATATCTAAGCTGGAGATTTATTGGTAATTGATAATATGATGAGGGAAATGAATGAATGAAAGTAGAGCAATAGAGAGTCTGCCAGTGTTGGAAATCATAGACAGAGCAGTAAGATAAGAAAAACAGATAAAAGGTATAAAGAGTTGGGCATGACATAGAAGCAGTTTTTAGATTCTGAACAGGAGAATAACAGCCAAGAATAACAGTGTTGGTTTTTCATGGGCTAAAATGGGGGCTAGAAAACTACAGCCTGAGCCAGATGCTGTCCTGCCACCAGGTTTTATACATAAAATTTTATTGCAACACAGTTACATCTACTCATTTCTGTCACGTCTATGTCTGCTTTTACATTGTAACAGTAGAGTTGAGGAGTTGTGACACAGATCATGTGGTACACAAAGCCAAAAATATTTGGCATCTGGCCCTTTGTAGAAGAGGTTCACCAACCCTGTACCAGAAAAATAGTGAGATAACAAGATTCCTTTAGAGCCAGAAAATGAAGTGGGAGTCTGGTTGCTGTCTTCACCTATCTAAGACTCAAGATGAAGAAAGGCTCATTTCAGATGGTCTGGAAAAGCAGGATAAGAGACAAAGCATATGAATTATTAAGAAAGAAATCTCTGTCCCAGTCTAACAAAGAATTCCTGACATTTAGAGTTGTTCAACAAAGGGCAAGCCATCTTTGATGGTGGTCTTCTTTTAGATGTTGATAGAAGCATTTCAACAGAACCACATTCAGCACTGAGGGCACTCAAAATGTGCTGAGCAAATTAAGTGAATGGATGACTGTCTGTCCATTTTAATTATAGAAACAATGGCTAATACTTAATGCATACAATATGTAAGGCATGTTCTAATTGTAACGTGCGCATTATCTTATTTAATCTTTACAATAGCAGCATCACTAGGGTAGTGGAGACTCCAAGTTGCTCCCCAAAATCTTTGCTCATAGTTACCCTCAATAATATAATCTCTTAATTTCAAGCAAACTTATAGCTACCCCTTATATCTAAATATGGTGATGTAACTATGTGATAGCCAATAAGATAGGTTTTCAGCTCCTGATAAATGTCCTTGAAGGCATAGGGTATGCACTTCTCCTCCCCACCTTTTTTTTTCCTGCTAGTTTAGAGAAAGCCATGATGGATCTGGAACAACAGTCTTAGATGATGGAGTGAATATGAAAATTAAATGATTTGTGTAGCAAAGAAATAAGAAGCCTGGGTGCCTACTTCCTGGTACTCAGGAAGGGAAATAAAAATTCTTATCTTCTTTAAGACACCACCATTTATGTTTTGTATCACTCACATCCAAGTCTCTTTCTAATAAAGGTGAGTGCTATTATCCCCAGTTTATAGATAAGCTCAGAGTATTTAAATGATTTATACAAGAGTACAGAGATGTGACACAATACAGAAGCTCTATGAAAAATTGCTTCCATGGTAGGAAAGTTATATTAACTAATTCTTAGAATATTTTCAATTTTTTTCCTGAGACAAATGAAACCCAATATATCATAAAGAATAGTTAAATGAATAAATATGAAATACAGGCATACTAGCTGTTCTTATTGTAGGTGTTAGATAGAGGTAGGGCTTGATAACAACAATAAAAATAACAATGAAAATAACTTATTGGGGGGCATGTTCAAAATACATTATATATTTGTATGAAAATGCCCTTATGAAACCCTAGGCACTGTGTATGATCAGTACACACCAATAAAAAATGAAAACACACAACTAATCAAAAAACGGTCAATGCTTTATGTACCTATTATATTCTGTATAGTCAGGTGGCTCTTAACCAGAAGGCCAGCAAAGATTTGAGAGATGGGGGATCTTAGCTGCGACTTTACAGAAAGGTAACAATTATTTATAGCCATGGAAAAGAAAAGAGGCCTTGAGTAGAGGGAGGAACATAACAGAAGGTGAAGGAGAAGGAATCCCCACACAAA